TAGTGAGAGTATAAGGAGAAGCCCTCAAACCACTCCAACCACCCCTTGGGGGCTTCCTCTTTATATTTATTTTGAACATCTGTTGTGTTTCTTTTTAGGGTTAAAATTATTTTGGTTGTCTGTGTTATAGTGAAATATGTTATTTGTACTATATATTTTTTATAATGTTAAAATCGTATTTCGACATTTTTAAATATATTTTCTTGGTACCCTGAAGCTGATTTTTAAGACGTGTAATGTCTAAACTACTATTCTCATTAATTAAAGAGAAATCAAATATTTTTATAAAAAAAATCTGAAAAGATTTTAAAACATTGAAATATTTAAAAGAAAACAATAAAATAAAAAAATTGTGATTTTTTGTCTAGATTTATTAGTTTTTGGTTAATTAAATAGAAGAGTACTAATGTCAATTTACGTCTCAAAAATCAACTTCATGGTACCAAAAAGATATTTTTAAAAACGTTGAGATACCATTTTAATATTATCAAAAACTCAAAAACTTTAATACTTTTTTCGTTTTCTAAGTCTGTGTTTTTTTTTTCTTATGTCGTTTATTCTTTTTTTGCCGTTTTTCTCAATTTTAAATTTTTCTCTTCATTTTTTAAATCCTTTTTCCCGATTCTTATCATCTACTTTACTTATGTCATTTTTTTTTTATATTGCTGTCATTTCAAAGAATATTGCAGTGTTATTGTTGTCAATTTTTCAATTTTTTTTCCTTTTATCTTATTCAATCCTACTTTTCTCGTTTATGCTTTAATGTCGTTCCCAAGATTGTCCAAAGTTTTCTCTGTTCTGTTGTAATTTAGTTCTTTTGGCTTTTTTGGTTTTGTTGTCGTTTCTGACGTGAATGTCGTATTTTGATCTATGTTATCGATTAAATGCTGATTACCGTTCATGTCGTCTATTCATGTGATGTCGTTTGTCAAGTGTGCTAGCGGTTGCAATGCTGCTAAATCGTTTCAAAGTAGTATATCCATATTTTTTCTATTTTCCTCACATTTGCATTGACGTAAGATAACCCCACTCTTGGCCCAGTCATCTCGACGAAAGCTCTGAAACTCAGTCGTTTACTTAAGTTGTACAATTGACATGCATAAAAAATATAAGCAGATTTCCTCAAGACTTCACAAAAGATCACTTTGTTATGTTACATTCAAGGATGAAAATATCGACATTTTTACAAATATTTTCGCAGAAATTTCGTATTTTGGAAGTAGCAATATGGAAATAGGGGTATAGTATATTTTCCGCATAAATATGATATTTTCATGAAAATCTCTTTCCAAGTAAAACATAGTGTTAAATGACCGAATATCATAGAAATTTAAGGAAATTTCCCGTAAATATCGGTAGATTTCCATAAAAATTTCTGCAACTTTATATATATTATTTTACTTTTAAAAAATCTAAAAAATATGGCATGTCTAAAATTATATAATAAACTATTCAAACTCTATGTTTTGGTATCAATATTGTTTAAAGTAAGAATGTATTCATAATATACCTTCCACCCTCCTAAAAGATCCTTTTGATATTAATAATTTATCATCATGTATGAAACCATATATGTATGGTATATGTATTATGTTGACCTTCAACTATTTTACTTAATTTGTAAACATGTGCATATTATTTATGGTATTTTGATCACACTTTACCTTGCATATTTATCAAATAATTAGTATTTTGATTGAGAGTTTCATCTAAATAATGTATTATTATATATTTTAAGGTTTTTAAAGTCTCATTTGAAAATAGTGTGTTTTAGTATGAATTTCTGTTTTTTACATCAATTTCTGCTGATATCGATATTTATGTAAAATTTAAGTACCGATATTTATGTAAATATTGATATTTTCATCCTTGGTTACATTCAAACTATGCAAAAAATATGTCACTAAGGGAACACAATTAATTGAAGTTGTTATTTCTAATAGAATATGCAGTGAACCTGCAAAACAAACACAACTAGTTAGTAAGGGAACAAAAGTGATCCACCTTATCTTTCTAGTTGACATTATCAGAGAACCCAAAAAAAAAAAAAAAAAATGCGAACACTTTCCAGCCAAATGAATGGAAAAACAACGCGGAATCTCCATGAACTAGAGCCCTCACTTTCGAAAATTAATTCTCTTTGCATAAAAATACAAGTCCTTTTGCCAAAAGCGGGGTCAGCAGCAAAGGCTAGTTCTCTCCACTTGCCAAAGTTTTGATAGCAATCCTGTCCCAATACATAACAAATAACAATGAACTCCAACATTACTGCATGAATAGTTTTTGAGCGGTGATTGTTAAAATTGCTGTTGTTTCTCAAGATGTTGTCGTTTCCACAAGCATTAGTCATTTTGAAGTATGACTATATTTTGTCTTTTTAAATTAAGAAGACATCCACGATCGCCTAAGTCGACGCCGAAAATACTTGTGTAGCTAAAAGCCTAAAGGTTCAAAAAGATAAGTGTTGTGAATATTTTGTGATGTGTGTGCTCGCAAGTGTACGAGTTCTTAACAAGTAATATAGTGACAAATTGAATATCATCCCACAATGATTGAATTTTTACAAATCAAACTAACTACAATAACTCTAACTTTATTTAGGCAATCAAATTTGAGTGAATAAAGTAATTAAAGCAACAAAATTAAACTAACAAAGCAAGTAAATGCAATTTGGAACAAAAGGGATCAAAGAGAATTATGATGATATTAAGGTAGCTAGGGTTTCTATTTCATTCTATTGAGCTATGCTAGTCTGATTCTTAAACTTGTTAATTAGTTTCACTCAATTCATTAATCTTAGATTTTCAAAGGTAATTTCCCTCTCTCTCCCAAGTGTCAAATAAAATAGTATGCAAAACCAATCAAGCAATATATATCCCTATTAGTCTATCTGAATCAAACATCCATTAAGCAACCCAATCTTAATTACTCAAATTAATTGTGTTTGCCAAATCCCAACATGTGAAAGTGACTCTCCCGAACCTAAATCCACACATCTATATCTCTAATTCATGAAAACGCAAATTAGAACATTAATTAACATAGCGAAACATAAATGAATTGAAGTGAAAATTCATTAACAAGCATTATAATCTTCAAAACATAGCAACGATAAACCTGCACCAAACCCCTAGCTCTAAAGACTTTAGCTAGAAGTAATCGTCCAGAATTCCGTAACAAAAACCATAGATAAACCAAGAATCCAGACCATCATACAATCTCAAATCTAAGGAAATAACACAAACTCAAAAGCTAAAAGAGAGAGAGAAAGAATGAAGAACTAGACGCCAATCAAGCTCCGTAATCATCAATCTCTCCTTGGAATCTCAAATCAAGCTCTTGAATCCTTGTGTTTTCCTTTTTAGGTATGGTTTTTAGTATCCAAAAGTCCCCCCTTTGATTCTTAGGTCATAACCAATTTATACTCCCCTTGAAATCAGTGCAAAAGAGGCCTGAAATGACTGCAACACGCATGGAGGTGCGGCAGCGGATGTTTTTCCTGCTTCAATGCTGCTAGGTTTTCTGAAAAAACCCTGTTGGTGCTGGCTCACCTGCTGCAGCCTGCAGCGGATGTTTTTCCTGCCGCAGCGGGTTGAATTTGTGACTTTCTGTCCAATGTGCTGCAGCGCTGCACCCCTCAAAACAAAATGAAATGGCTCGAATTGCACTCTTTTAATCTCCTTTGAAAACCTTATATTCCAAAATAGCATAAACCTACAAAAAGAACACAAAACACACTAAAAACACAATAAACGAACTAAGAACCAACAAAAATAGCTAAGCTTGGTAATGCAAATAATCAAACTATCAATAAGCTCAAAAGAGTGCACAAAATTCAAGTGTAAAGTGTGGATCATAGAGCAACAATATGATAACCATTAACTTATGTAGTTCAGCTCATTCAAAGATACTTTGCTTTCTATAGTATTCTACTAGAAAATATCCAGACAGAGAGAAGAAAGGGAAATAAAAAATTTTCATAGGCATGCCAATGGGATGCCACACCGAGAGAAGAGACGGAAATGAAGACTAGAAGCTTCATTTCCACGAAAATGACCAAAACGTCCCAACATGCCAACTGTGAGAGAAGAGACGGAAATGAAGCCTAGAAGCTTTATTTCCACGGAAATGACCAAAACGCCCCAACAAAGAACAAATGGACTAAGAAGTTGAGGGCAAAAAAATGAGGAAACACGGGGAATTTTTTTAGAAATTAACAAAAAAGACAAAGAACAATAAAAGCACTACCTCCTTTAGTATTATAGTATTCTATGTACAGAGAACTTTTCTTTTGACCATGCCAAGTAAAATGTGTTCTGAATATATAATACCGCGTCTAATTTCCGTGTGCAATTAAGATCACAAGGGAGACAAAAGTACATTATTGAGTGATAAGTTGCAACAAACGCTTCAGTTTTTCTCTTTATTGGACCCCATGAGATATTTCTTCCTTGTTATAAAATCTCCGTGATAAGTTGCAACAACCGCTTCAGTTTTTCTCTTTATTGGACCCCATGAGATATTTCTTCCTTGTTAATATTACTGATCATATCCCTCAAAAAAGCCACTACAAAATCTCAATCACAAATAACAAAGAGAACCATCCCAAGTTTCAAAATCATAAGCAGCTAATATTGTTTAGTCTTATCATCAACAATCATGTGTAACCAAAAGTACTACGGAGAAGAAAGAGCCTCAACGTCTTTCCTTAGGCTTCGGCTTTTCATGGGAAAACTGCAAAAGCGTTTCTCGGTTTTATCAGCTGCCAAAGAATTGGAAGTGCCAACCACAGTACCCGACGATGTGAAGGAAGGGCATTTCGCGGTGTCGGCAGTGAAGGGTGCTGAGAAGAAGAGGTTTGTTGTTAAGCTTAAGTACTTAACTAGCCCCGCGTTTATGAGACTACTTGAGCAAGCTGAGGAAGAATATGGATTCGAACAAACCGGAGCTCTTGTGGTTCCTTGCCGTCCGGACGAATTACACAAGATTTTAGAAAGAAATTGTGGAGATAAGATCAAATTTTAATGACCTGGGCTACACATGACCTTCATGTAATCTTAAATTTTCTATAGGGATACTAGGTAACCTAACTCATGTTATTCTTTCACTGGTATAAGTAATTTATCCAATTTTTTTATATTTCATTCTTTAATTAATGTAATTGGTGAAATACCCATGTCAATATGCATTGTTCTTCAATCAATTTTTCGTGGTCTCGCCCTAATTTATCTCACACTTACGATGGCATTATAAAACAATGCTTTTATGGTACTTCTACTTTTCACAATTACACTGTTCCTTTAGCCCTGAAGCTGAAAATGAAAGGTTCATTGAATTTTATATAATAAGAAAGCAACATTAATATATGACACAATTGTCAATTATGGATATGAATTGAGTACTCAGGCTCAGATGATAACTAAAAATACACATTCAGCTTCATAAAATCCTATAAAATTGGTGAGTAGAAAATGAGAGAAATCTCGATAAGTATCCACTTTTGGAAGTATTTTACCTGAGACCAATTATTTGAGCCTACAGCTTCTTTCAAGCAATTATAGATTGCCATGTATTACTAGCTTCAATTACTACAACCTAGATCATCCTTTTTCCATGCAGTTTGAAATTGATATTTTTAAGAAAATAGCAGAAAACTCTGTGAATATATTGGATAATGGGAATTCTGTTTAGGAGAAAGAAAGAAAAAAACCTGTTGTGCACATTGTTAACTTGTGGAGCCTAATTATACCCTTATGATTATTGCCTTACGCGGAGAAATTCACATTGGTAAAGCAGGTTGCCTAGATTTTCATTATAAAAGGAGGGGTGTAGATTTTCGAATCATTAGAGAGGTTAGAGAAAATGTAAAGAATTGTCAAGTATTTTCTCGTGTAAACTTCATCATTATAATGAGTTATTGCAGCGGTTTAAAGTATATATAATCTCACGTAAAAGTGAACCTCTTCACTACTAAAAATGGCAGATTTAACGTGTTTGTCTTTTGTTTGATTTCTTTTCAACGATTTAATTGCTCTCAGTAATATAGAATTAGAGCGTATAATTCCAACTAACACACATTTCTTGTTCGATAAAATTTTATTGAATTCTAACAAGAAGCTTTTCCCAAACAATTGACTTTTCTACAGCTCCTCAAGAAACTAATATATGAGCTCACAAGAGGGCAAATACTCGAACTGTAAGAGTGTAGATTACGGTGCCACAATAAACTGAAATTTTTTTTTTTTTTTTTTTTTTTTTTTTTTTTTTTTTTTTTTTCAGCTCACTCCCAGATATCTTATGGTATGACAATAAAAATACTATTTCTTATTCTTTCTAAAGAATTTTAATTTGTTTGCGGTGACTACCGAGCAAGTATGTACAGGTGAGACAAAAAATACAGCACTGAATAACGTGTTCTAACGACCACATGCAAAATATCTCGCATCCCAGCGAAATTTCATAAGATAAGAGAAATGTGGTAACTTTCAAACCATGAAAAACTTTCTTTTCAACAATGTCTGCCAAAAAGTACTACGGAAAGAAAGAGCTACAAGCTTTCTTTTTCAAGGACCTGTCTTTCTAGTTGTCGCAAGTCATGCTGTCGTGTTGAATTCATTGCATGTCGACCTTTCAAACAACACTCTAACGGCAAATACAGCACAATTCGTTTTCGGTCCGTTTGCAAGTTGGGTTTAAATCATGTGATTTGAACCATAATTTAAATTTAAGAAAATTTTAGATCCACTTTATTTCACTAATTTAAGTTTTTAATTTTAATTTTACTACAGTTAAAAGCTCTTATAAAAAATCACATTTGATTTTTTCTGCTTAAGTGAAAAGCTCTCACATAAAATCACATCTAAATTCGAATTGAAAACTCGAATCTGCGAACTGAACAAGACTTGATATCCGGTGATATATCGAAATATGAGTTTAGTACTTTTTATTTTTAATAATTTCATGTCTGTACCTCGACCTTTTAAGAAATCTTCTTTTGGTACTTGAGATATGAAAAGACAAAATTATCCTTATTATTTAATATAAAAATATTTTTTTAAAAATCATAAACCTATAACTAAACACTCAAACTTCACTCTATCCAAAATATAAAACTAAATCTTGATTGAAGGTTTAAGATTTTCTAAGAAGCTTTTTTTGTATATTTAACAATAACGGTAATTTTGTCTTTTTATATCCCAAAAAATTGCCTGAGGTACTAAAAAAAATTTTCTAAGAAATTCAAGGTACTGATGAAATTATTAAAACAAATGATACTAAACTCATATTTTGATATAACACAGGGTACCTAAATGAAATTTTTCCTTTAAAATTTGTAAGAGAACACGTTGACAATAATTTTTTAAAATTTTTATAAGAAAAAACATTATAACAAAATTAAAATCATAGTTCCTTCCGAGCAACCCCGTATTGTTACTCTCGATCTACCAAATGTAAAGACCGATTTATTAACGGGTTTTTAAATGTTTTAAAGATAATATAGTACATGACGGTGTGCGACAACTCGTTTTAAATACTTTGTTGCCCTTCTTTCGTTTATCTTATATTGTTTTCTAGTTTTGATGTCGTTTTTATGTCATAAAGCTTACTCTTGTGGTGTCGTTTTAATGTGTTTTTTTGTTTATGTCATTTTATAATCCTTTCTCATGATTTTGTCTTCTATTTTTTATATTTTTACTACTTTGTTGCCGTTTCCAAGAATATTGTCGGTTTTATATTTTGTGTCGTTTGCTATCTTTTGAGTTTTGTTGTCGTTTTTCCCCTTTTTGTCGTTTGTTTCTCTTTTGTCAATTTCAATTTTTATAGTCTTATATACTTTTTCATGTCTTCCAATTTTTGTTCCTTCATGTGTCGTTTAAACTTTTTTCGTTGTTTTCATGTTCATGTCTTTTGTTTCCTCTTCTTGTTGTTTCCCCATTTTCTTGTTTCTCCTTTCGAAAATGTAACACTCTTTTTCACGTTCTTGTATGTTTTGACGGTTGTGACCGCTTCCTTTTGTACATATGAATCGCCCGGTACAATGTCGGCGTGTGATTTATAAATTGTAGTTTAAAAGAATTTACTTCGTTTTCTAACTTCAAGTCGTTTATCAAGCTGAAAACAACAAGTTTCATTAGAAGAGTGTCGTTTTCCAATTATATGTTAGTTTCTTTAAAATTGTATCATAACCAATACATTGTAGTTCCAAAGAAATATTGCGTTTTCTAAATTGATTTCCTTTTCATATTTAAGAGGTGTTTTCCTAACAAAGGACTTTCCTGCAGCTTAAGGAACTAAAATATGAGCTCACAAGAGGTCAAAGGCTTGAACTGTTTGAATGTAGATTACAGCGCAACAATAAACTTTACCTTTTTTTTACTTCAACTCAATCCAAAATATCTTTATATCCAAAATGTTTTTAAGTAGTAATTTTGTAAGTTCTGTGTTAATAGATAGCGCGTTGTGCAACGAAGAATTTAACCAAGAAAAAAAAAATACATTATTGAATCACAAGTTGTAAACAAACCGCATGCAAATTATTGTATCTTCCTTGGAAATTTCTTCGGCGTTATCACTATCCTCAAAAAGCCACCATAAAATTCTCACCATCACAAATAACAAAGAGAACCATTTCAAGCTTCAAATCATAAGCAGCTTGTTTAATCTTGTCATCAACAATCATGTCTAACCAAAAGAACTATGGAGAAGAAAGAGCTACACCTTTCCTTAGGCTTCGGAATTTCATTGGAAAACTGCAAACCACAAATTACGTCCTTTATCTTTACAAATTACATCACATAGATGTTCTTTTGATTCATAAAAACAAATTAATCCAACCAAGTGCGGAACAGTGCGCGCTACAGGTCTAGCCAATTCAAGTTATTCCTGCATTTTCATCAACCAGTGTCTACTAACCACACCACAAATCTGAGTCCAAACAAAAATATGGACACATTAAAATTTAGAAACATCTAAGGCCTCGTTCATTTCACCGATTCGAATTTTCAGTTTTAAGTTTCTACAGTTAAAAGCTATCAAAAAATGTCATATCTAATTTTTTTCTGCTACAGTTAAAAACTCTAAAAAAATGTCACATCTCAACTCGAATTGAAAACTTAAATCCGCGAAGCGAACGAGGCCTAAGTTTGAATGGACCTATAAAAAAAAATGATGAGAAACAAGAGCTAGGAATAGTCATTTCAATTTACAGCAAGGTTCTTTAGCAATGATATTTATCGTCGGTATCATGCTGTCAATGTCACGTAGTCACAAAATAAGCGCAAATTATTTGAGCAATGACAAAACTTGCCACTACTCTTTAGTGACGACACAATTAAAGATTACCCATCTTTGACGATGAGAAAACATCTAATTAAACTTATGTGGTGGATCTTCTGAAAACTCAATGTTTAATTATTAGTGCCTTGGAAATACAATGCTAGATGGTCCATTGCTCCGAAACTGTGCTTTCTTCAATGGAATATATAAGTCTGACGTATTATAGAGAAGAAAAAAACGCAGTTGCAGATATATTGGCTGTTCATGGGGTGAATTTGATCAATTTTATGTACAATAACCTTGTTGTTTGTGGCATTTAGCTGTAGATGTATTGATTGTCAGTGATATCCCTCAATCATTTTTTGAATTAGACTTGGATTTGCTCAGACATTAATCATGCTCTTCTTGTTCTAGTGTTTTTTTTTTTTTTTTTTTTTTTTTTTTTTTTTTTTTTTTCTCAATAGTTTTACTAAGGTTTTTAGCGAGGTTTTTCTTTGAATTTTCATTAGGAATAAATCTTTCCCTGAAGCTGTCCTTTTGCGGTTGAAGGTTGTTGGTTTTTTTTTGGTGCGGCTTTGTTTTTCTGATTTAGTTTCTTGGCTCGATGTCTTTTTCTTTAAAAAAAAAAATATTTCTGGTTGTAACTTCGTTTTTTCTTTGATAATATTTGAGCGGGGAACTTAGTTTACAAAAGGAGTTATAATAAAAGGGTGTCACCTTAATTAAGATCTTTTTTTTTTTTTCGCGCGTCTTTAACATGATCAGTTGCTTTCCTTAAAAACCTTACATAACTAAATGACACCATAAAATAAAAATTTCAAGTGATCAAGGACATAAGTAAATAATATTAAACAACTAGGA